GTCCTGGGAAGATGAGCTTGGCCAGAAACAAAAACCTCGCCGCTTCACAAGCTTTGCTCATTCGCAGGCGCCATTTTCTGCTTCACGGGCACCACCTCCCCTCTGCAGTCTCTTAACAGCCTCAGGACACACCCCTCGGCCTCGTCACAAGCCTCGTTCCCAGACTCCAGCTCTCTCCACCACGAAGGGTCTGACTCCTTCCCTCTTCCCCCACCCGCTCCGCCTTCAGCTCCCAAACCGCTCTTCGGCCTGACGTCACCGGCATTGACTTAGTTCTCAGGTGCCGCGCAGCAGTCACGGCCCGCCCCCAGATGCTTCGGAACGCCGCGCAGACCACGCTCCCCAGCTCTGTTGCTGAGATCCCCTCCTTCCCAAGTTCCCCACCTCGCTGGCCTGGCCCCTCCGCCGCGGCCTTCCCTTCTCATGACCCGCCCCCTGCCTCCGCGCCAAATAGCGCCGCGCTATCAGGCTGCAGGCTGCACCGCACAGGCTCCACCTCTTTCCCAGACTAGGCACTTTCCCGCCCCTCTCGTTCCCAGTCACATAGGCCATTCCTCTTCCCCAGGGCGGCTCTCACGTGGACCTCCGCCGTCTCGTCCCCCACCGTCCCCCCAAGCCGAGGCTCCGCTTGCAGCTCTGCCTTACCAGCTTTCGCCAACCTGCAGCGGACGCCCTCGCCCATTCTCGCCATTCTCGATCTGGCGCCGCTGGCTCTCCAGGTCCGGCACCGCTTCGCGCTGTGGCTCTTGGTCGTCGACTGCAGCCGTATCCGCGGGACTCGCTGCGGCCGCCGCCATAGCCGTTTGCCCTCCCCTAGCGGCCACCGCAGCTGGGAATAGGAAGGGCCCCTCAACAGCCACTTCCGGATTTTGGTCCCGGAAACGGAAGCAGAGCCCCCCATACAGCCAGGGGGCTACTGCCATCTTGAAAAGGGACCCCCCCGCGATGGGACTCGTCGAAGGGCTGGGCAGGCATAGGCACGTGGGCGGTGATTTCCGCCACCAATAGGCGGGGTAAATCCTCCAGTTGGGAACTAAGGACCAAGGTGTCTTGTGGGATTCTAACGCCATGTTGAGTCAGGACAAACGATTGTGCGGAACGTCTAGGTAGTGGTCCCCGAGGTGGAAGAGGACATATTGGGGCGTGCTCAGGGGAAACTTCCAGGACCTTTTGGTCCCATGCTTTGCTGAGGACTGCGGGCCTGTATCCTGGGAGCGGCCTTTTTGCAAGCCTGACCAGGATGCCCTTCCTTCATTGCACTACCCTTCTCTATCAGAAACTAATGCAAAAGAAGGCATCACTTCCAGGGCGCTACCCCGGCCTACGGGCCTCTTCCTTGCGTGAACTAGATTTATCCTCTTTAACATGTTGAAGGCAAATCAGCCCCAGGCCAGGTATATTTATTGGAGTTACAGCACTGATAATAATAGTTGGCCCTGTTTCGGTGTTTTATTGCACATAAATAGTCTTAGGCAGCAGCTTGCCTATGGGAAACAATGGGGATGTTGAGGACTAGAAACGTTAATTCACCTTGCCCCACTAGTAAGTAGTGGAGTTGTGGTTGAACTCAGGAATTCCAGTTCCAGAGGTGCCACCTTTAAATTCCACGCCAGAGATTTTCAAACTAGGGTCCTTTTTGGCTTTCTACCCGTTCAGGAGACCCTTTCAGGGTTCACAAAGTCAAAACTATTCACAAGACTCTTTCATGGTCATTTTCTATTGCGTGTGCGGTGGAATTTTCCAGAGACTGCATGACGTAAGCAAAAGCTCTTTGGATAGCCTTAAGAATAGGAAGGAATTCTGAGACCAAAAGTTTGAGAACCAGTCAACTGCATCAGGGTTTTTCAGCTTAGGCACTATTGACATTTCTGTTATAGGAAGCATTGTAGGATGTTTAGCTGCATTGCTGGCCACTACCTGCTAGATTCCAGGAGCATCTCCTAGTTGCAAAACTTCCTCTGCGGGTGGGGAAGATTATCTGCTGAGAACTGCTGCTCTAGGCTATGTCTACATTTTCTCTGCTGGGGCTCCTAGCCCTCTTATGTTGGTGGTAACTAAAATTTCCTTCTTTGGCTCCCTTATATCGACCTGCCTATTGGCTGTCCCCACCTAACCATTGCACAAACTCCCTAAGACAGGCTCATGATTCTGGGTCTCTTTCAGTGTATTTCCCTCACTATCACTACCCATTCCCACAGGCAAACGCATACCTTGCTTTTTCACACATTTAGGCCCATGCACACACAGGTGTCCAAAATACCCTTTCTTTGCACAATTTCAAACCCCACTGCCACCAATACACATGATCTCACAATTTACCTCTATCTTCAGTTAACTTCATTAGGGCAGGAATTGTGAATTACTGATGCCAGCCTCCAGCTCAGACCTGGCACAGATGAGGGGGTCACAACTCAGTTGTGTAATCTTTGAGGGAGGAAAGGGAGCAGCCATTTCACCTCAGGATCTGTAAAGTGGCATTTGAGTTGGGTCTGGCACATGGTAGATAGATGCCCTTCAGGCCTACCTGAAGCTTGTCAGGTTCTCTGAACGGACTCTCATTGCCCATCTGCAGACACCTCCTCCCCATTTAATTTGAAGCTTGTCCTTCCTACAATCCAACAAGAGGCCTCCCTCCGTAGGCTTGTTTTCTCCGCTTTCCAGAGACCAATCTCTGCCCACACCAATGACCCTACCGGTTCCTAGAGCAGTTGGGTGAGTTCTAGTCCTAAGTCCAGCGTGGCAATCGTCCCCTTTTGCAAGGTCTTCATTTTCCCCACCTCCTTACTATCAGAAGTGGCCATGTCAACTGACTCTAGCCAAAGGATGGCACAAGAAGTCTGCTGAGGGGCTTAACAGTTTCAGCCATTATAAGGAAACAGGGAAGGTGGTTTTCCTTGCTTGCTTTCCCATCTTTGGGGACTTCACAGTCATCGTGGAACCATAAGGCTGTAGACTATCACCAGAATGCTTACAGGGACACAGCAGAGGTCCACTGCCGCTGCTGGACTTCATCAACCAGCCACTTAGGCTTGTATTGCCTATAGCATTTGCCAGGCCCTGTCCACCCCACGTCTCCTGCCTGGAAATCTATCCTAGGCTTTGCTCAACATGGTGGACAGGGGTTAGAACTCCCAGGACAGAGGAAATCAGAGCCTCAACTTGAGTCCCAGGCTACCTATAGACTTCTCACAAACCATTGCATTCTTTCCACAGTCATCTCATACATGTCCACGGTTTCCATTACTTCCTAGATACCAATAACCTAAACTTCCATCAATGGCCCTAGTCCTAAATTTGACCCAAGTATTAAAAAGATTCCCCTATCTTCTCTGTGGTTTAAAATCTACCATATCATATTCCAACTGGCCTGCCTCATGGTCCCAGCTAACCATGTCTTAGTCATACTGGGTTTCTCTGCCTTATCTCCCCAAATCCTGGTTTTATTGGGCCTTCTAAGTGTCTTTCAAAGAAACAGCCTCTCCATACCTAACAGTCTATTTTCTATCTGGTTTCCTCATATTCTGGGGTAAATCTAACTCCTCTCTGCTCAATCCTTAGCCCATCCTCTATACAGCCTGCCCTACCTGCTTCAACTCAATGTTCCACCATGTTATGTGCAACCCCTCAGATGCTTTTTCATAGTCCTGACACATCCCTGGCCCACTAGTAGTGCTCTTCTAGACAACAGGCACCAAGTGTGAATTCTCCAAGGTCCCAGTACTCACCCTGGGTTGAGCCCACCCCCAAAGGGATTTGCAATCAAGTTTTTCACTTTAGACTTTTAATATTTCATACAGCGATTATGGTGCATTCAGGAACCCACCCCTCCCAACTCCCCTAGGAGGGCCCCTGCCCTTGCCCTCCCACCCCATTTGAGGGCCCCAGGGTTTAGAGTGGAGGAAGGGAAGGTAACCACCCATCTGGGGACTGACCCCAGAAACTGTCCCTGCCCTGTCTCACTTTCCCCAGAGGATAGGGGGTAATGCCTGGGCACAACCTCCCATGCGCCCCTCTGTCCCTGCTTGTGCACATATGCACACTATGGCTCCACCGCTGAGTTGGTCAGTTCCTGGCAGGGCCCCTACTCAACAGCACCGTGCAGGATGGGGGCAGGAGGGCTGGGCTAGGGAGACCCTGAGAAGGAAGCCCCAGCTATGGGACTAAAGGAGGGAAAGAGTGGGGGCCCCCCACCTCATCCATCTCCCAGAGAGTCTCCAGTAGTCCCCAAGTCCCCCTGCGGCTGGGGATGGCAGGTGGGGGGTTGGAAGGCGAGTTGCCAAGGCATGCTTTCCCTTAGCTGACCCCAGGGTCTGGTGATGATCAGGGTTTTGAATAGGGACTATGTCCCTGCCATGAAAAGGCTGGGAGCAGGGCTTCATTGCACAAAATACTGTGGGAGGGCCACACACAGTGAGTGGGGCCCAGCAGTCTGTATACAGAGATATTGCATTTAAAAAATGAAAATCTCATTTAAAATAATTAAAAAAAACAACAATGAATGAAACAAACAAACAAGGCCCACACAACATGAGGCAGGAAAGCAGGAAGGGGAGCCTCAGACCCAAGGCATCACCATGACTTGTCTGAGTCGAGATCCCCAGCCTGGGCTAGCTCCAGACCCCTGGTTGGCCATGGGGTAGTGGTCCTGGGGGAGGGTATGATGGGGAGGGGTCTAGGCCTGGCCTCAGTGTGGGAGGCTGGCACGGCCACGCTGTCCACCGGCAACTACCAAGACAGAGAGAGAAAGAGACACATATAGACAGATAGACAGACCAGGAGAAGGAGCGACGAGAGCTTTGTTAGCACCCAGCAGACAGGCCAATGGGTGGGCCAACAGGCCAATGGTCGGGTGTTCAGACAGGCAGCAGGGGACATGTGGGCATGGGAGCATGAGTCAGGCAGGCAGGCAGGCAGCAAGCAGGGAGGATGCAGTTGGGGGCTGCCCTGTGAGGGGTGTGGCATCCCTCCAGCTGCTGCCTGCTGGGGCCTCGGTCTGTGGCTTAGAATTCGGTGTCCACCACTCGATAAGCTGGCCTGCCTGCAGGGGAAAGCAGAGCGGATGGCTGTTGGTGAGCAAGCAGGCAAGTGGACGGGGGCCAGGGGGCAGGGAAGAGGGCAAGGGTCACATCTACACTTACCTGAGTCAGGCATTGACGAAGATCGAATGCTGGCCTCCTTTTGTAGCTGGATCTCCTTTAGTGCAAATATGGAAGTAGCTGTGGGTGGAGGAGAGACAGAAGTGGGGCAGGACCCATGAGGCCATCCAGGACCACCTCCTGTGTGGCCCCATCAGGGCAATTAGAAAAAGCTGCCTTTTCTTTGAGTCTTGACTTTCATCAGCCAAATAATCCCACACACAAACCAGCTACCACTAGGGAAAATGGAATGTAGACTATTACATGACACTGAGAAATTAGTAATTTTGTCAAGTGTAATAGTGGTATTGCAATTACCACCTGTTAAATCTAGATGATGGATGATGTTTGGGTTGTGACTGAGATTAATCCAATGTTTTGGTTTTTTTTTTAGTGTGATCATTGTATTATTGTTGTGCTTAAGAAAATATTTCAGAGGTACATGCTAAAATTGTATATAGATGAATGATGGATCTGAGACTTGATTTAAAATAATCAGAGTGAATATAGATAAAACCACTCTGGCCATGAATTGATCACTTGTTGGAGTACTTGGGGACTTATTATTTAGTTCAATATATAATAGACCATATTACTTGATTTAATATATAAATATATGGGATTTTAAGGTAAAGTGATGGATGTTCTATCAGGTTTTATGTTTGAAAATTTCCATGAAAGGTAAAAGAAACTGAAGGCTAAAAAACTTTTTTATAAAATACAACATATCACATATGTGAACAAGGGCATATGCCTCACCCCATCAGAGGTGGCACAGCTAGAGCTCAACACAACTGCCCAGCCATCTGCAGCAATCCTGTTCCACAAAGCCCCCCACCAGCTGGTCCATTCCCCAGCCCCACTCACTGTCAGGAAGTTTGTGGATCCGATCCCCCAGACTGAGGAAGAATGGATGTTTCATGGCATCCTCTGCGGAGATCCGATTGCGACCTTCAAACTGAGTGTGTTGGGGTGGGGGAGTATTGACACTTCAACAAGTAGGCTTCTCTTCCTCCCCACCCCAGACCCTGCCCCTGTAGCTCTGTTTCCCCCACACCTGGAATCCACTAGGCCCCTAGGGTGGCCCAGGAAGGTGGTCTCACCTGCAGCAGCTTGGTGAGGAGGTCAGCCCCGTCGCTGTCAATTCTACCTCAAGGACAAGGGGACCTGTTTTAAACTGAGTTTGGGTACTCTGGCCCCTAACAGCCACCCACCCACCAGCCTCACCGGGGTGCATGGCTCAAAAGGGCCTCAGCTCGGTACTTGGGGTAGTTGTATGTCCTGAACTCTTCATTGGACAGGATGCCTGGCCATGTATCTTCATTTGGGGTTCCTGGCGGGGAAGCGGAGTTATCCTAAGCATCTCACAGGGCCTCCCTGCATGTCCCCACAGCTCCTAGGGCTCATGCCTCCTTACCCAAGATGCGGAAGATGAAGTGCAGCTGCTCCTCCACTGTGGAGCCTGGGAAGAGGGGCCGGCCCGTGGCCATCTCATAGAAGATGCAGCCCACACCCCTGGGCAGGGAGAGCACAGTGAATAGGCAGGTAGTTAGCTGGTTGGCTGTTGTGACCAAGCCACTCCCCTTTACTGCGTGGCCCCTGCCACACTTCAGCCTGTCCTTACCACATGTCAATCTGAGTGGAGTAGTCCGTGGACCCGAGCAGGATGTCAGGGGGCCGGTACCACAGTGTTACCACTTCGTTGGAATAGGTCTTCGTTGGAATTGACTTGGCCCGGGCCAGGCCTGGTAGGTGGAGATAATGAGCAGCTGGAATTGAGGAGATCATGGGCCGTCTGGGGGAGAATGTGGTTGGGACTGAGGGCTTCCCAAGTGAAGCCTAGAGAGGCTGAAGGGGAGGGACTGAGACGAGGTGGTCAGAGGGAAGGAGGGGCTGGGAGAGTAAGGTTGGGGGATCACTGGGATGAAGGGGGAGGCAAGGGGTACCGAAGTCGGCCAGCTTGAGCTCTCCTCGCTCATTGATGAGTAGGTTCTGTGGCTTGAGGTCTCGGTGTAGCACCTTCTGCCGGTGGCAGTAGGCCAGGCCACGGAGCAGCTGGAACAGGAACAGCTGGGGACCCAGGAATGGCAGGCAGAGGTCAAAGAGTAGCAGCAGCCTGACCCCAAGCAGGCACTGCTCTCCCTCCCAAACACAAGCACTGAGCCCAGAGCCTTGTCTCACAAATAGAGGATAGGGTCCCAATGTCCTTCAAGGGCTCCCAGCAAAAAAGCCAAATGGGAAATATCTGTTTCTGGGAGATTTGTGGGGTGGAGTGGGTGAGTGGGGGGCCCCCTTGTGCCCCTGCTTCCTGCCCCACACCCACTTTCACATTGTGCATGTTGATGATGTTCCCACAGTCATCCAGGTACTGCTTCAGGTCCTTGTCCTGAGGAAAGAAGAGCAGGTAGAGGAAAGAGGGTCACATCCTGTGGCTCCTGGCCATCTCCCCACCTCCCCCAGGACCCATGGCCACCCAATCTTACCAGGTACTCAAAGACAAGGGTGAGGGACTTCTCCGTGTGAATAATGTCGTGTAGTGTGACGATGTTGGCGTGTTTGAGGTCTTTGAGCAGGGACACTGCAGGAAGCAGGGAGTTGGGACAGGGAAAGAGTCAAGGCCCATGCTCAGGACAGAGGCGAGGAAGAGGACTAGACGGGGTCAAGCCCAGGGTTTCCTCCTTTCCCTGTGGGGTTTGGGATGGTGGCTCACAGTCCACTCTAACCCGGTTCCAACCCACCTGCTATCAGGAAGAAGGTGTGTCCCCAAGTTCCAGACATGGAAACTAAGGCTCAAAGAAGAGTACAGAGCCAGAACCTGGGATTGCAGCCTTAGGCTTACATGACAGTAGATCTTCACAACCAGTTTTTGGTTTTGGAAAGGGCCCTTATTCCAACCCTCAGTATACAGACCCGCAGCTTCATGTAAAAATGAGTTTGTACATTCAATTTCCATACAGTTCAGACTCATTCCATGTGATTTTCTGACTAGAAACTATTGTGTCAAGTAAACTGATGAGCACTTCAGGGATATTCCCAGAATCAAAGTAAACAATTATCTGCCTCTTCTCAACATAGGAAGACTCCTGGTTACCCTAATTTATTATCTGGATATGTGGGTGATGAGCACTTTTTCATGAAGCCCAGAGCACCACAAGAGAAGTCCCAGAACCCCCAATCCTGTCCTCACTATGGGAGTGTATGTGCACATACGCACCATGGGGAGAGCCTGGGAAGCCTGCAACAGATGGGGTGGGACCTGTACCTTCCCGGATGGCGGTGCAGGGTGCCCCCTCTTCGTGTTCCAGTCTGATCTCCTTGAGTGCCACAAGGTTGTCTGTGAGCTTGCTTTTGCCTTTGTAGACAGTGGCATAGGTACCCTGGAATGTGAGGAAGAGTGACAGGAGAGAAGCTATGAGGCTACAGGGAGTTCCCACTGAACCCCAGCCTTACCATGGGTCTCCTGGCTGTCTCTCACCTCTCCCAGCTTGTCCAGCTTGATGTAGGTCTCCAGTTTCCCAAAGCCGATCTCAGACTGTCAGGTAAAGGATGCAGGCTGAAGTAGGCTCAGCGGAAGGGACTGGGAGGAGGAAAAGGAGGACAGGAACAGAAGATGCTCACCAGGCTGACGCGGCGGAGACGGCGGCTGAGGGGCTTGTCAAAGATGGGGCTGTTGAGGGTCAGCTTCTCAAGGTAGCCCTCAGGCAGCCGGATGTCGGCTGGTAGTGATAGGCGCTTGTTGATGTCCTAGCAGGCAAGATGGGGGAAGAAACAGGACCATCAGCTACAATCTCCAGATCCAACCCTCTTTTTCCAGCCCCGCCACTGCCCGGACAGGGAGTTAAGCACCTCAGTGGAGATCTTGCGTGGGGGATGGTTGCGCATGCGCACCCTCACTGGTGACTGCACCTCATCGGAGGACGTGGCTGAAGCCTGGTCACTTTCTCCGTCAGACCCCATCTTCAAGTCCTCATGCACAATCTCTGGTAGTGGGGACAGGGGGAGGGCACACCAGGTGGGCTCAGGAGCCCCAGGACAAATCTCCCCACCCTCATAACACATTCCCTCATCACACATGTACGCACATGGACTCCAGAGCAGCCTGGAGTTCCTCAGGGAAGAGGGTGGGAAGGCCCCGGGAGGTTCACACAGGTCAAAACAGGTTGAATTGGGCAGGGGGGGCAATAGTCACCTAGTGGAGCACCCCGTGTCAGCGGCGAGCTGAGACTGTGGCTTGCCCAGGGCCAGTGGGCAGGCAGCGGCAGAAGTAGCCGAATGCCCTGGGAAGGCAGGCCTGGGGCAGGCAGGTGCCAGGAGGCCTGAAGGGGCTGTCACAGAGCGCAGAAGGGCAGAGGGAGGCTTGGGGCAGCTGTAGCAGGCAGGGTACCCTTCCTCCCCCTGAGACCTGGGCACAAAGCCAAGGAAAGGGGCACAGATGGACAACAGAGAGAGGGTGTTGAGCAAGGATGGTAGAGGTGGGGGAGAAAATGGAGAAAGGAAAGTGAAAAATAATACAAGTCTAAGAAAAAATCGGTTGGCAGGCAGCACCCCTGGGGACCAGGCTAGGAGCGGGAATGGTCAGTGTACCCACCTGGTGCAGAGCTGAGTGGGCCCCGCACAGAGCGAGGTTCCCCAGGGGCAGCACGTGTGGGGGCCTCTCCAAGGTCACTGCCGCCGCCCCCGCCACTCTCATCCAGGCCTATCTGTTCAGGGGCACCATTGGTCTTATCTATACCTCGGCCCCCTCGGAGTGTCATTGACAGCTGCCGTTTGATCTTCTTCATCCGATCCATGGCGACCTGAGCAGGGGGTAGGGATGGGAATGGGTCCCACCCTAGCAGTTGCCTGACCCCCATGGGCCCCCTAAAACCCAGTGAGGTGCACTGACAGGAACCTGTGGCAGTGCTCACCCAAACACTGTGGAACCCTGGAATCACACAGGATTCCTGGAAACCTGGCATGGATGGAGATCTTGGTCAGTGCCTGCCACCTACACCAACCAGCCCCAGGAGACCCTGCTCCTAAGAGCCCACCTGGGTACTAAAGCTTGGGTGGCTGGCTGAGGGAAAAGGCACAACTGATGAAGTGTTGGCCTCTTTGGGGGCAGCCTCACTGTGGGAGCAGAGGGCTCTACAGCAGGCATTCTCAGGTGCAGCGGCACTGATGGACCCAGCCACTGGTGAGGTGGGGGACTCTCTCAGGACCCTGAGACCACTGACACGGCCCCAGGGATGTCCATACAATGGCATGTTCCGCTGGCACCAGCCCCACATCACCCCCAACTGCAAAGGCAGAACGCTCCCTGTGGCCACAAGGTCCCTCTCGCCTCCCCCAGCAACCATCGTCAAGGTGACTAGTGGACTACCCCACTGGGCTACCCCGATGAGGGGTGCGGGGAGAGGGAGAGGTTTCCTGCCCAGACCCAACCACTGGGTGGGGTTGTGGGGGGTGGGAATCTCAAAGTATACCAGCTATCCTAAGAGTTGCTGGAAAGGTTCAATCAGGTTTGGACCACAGGGTCCCAGAGATTTTTACAAGCCAGGTCACATTTCTTGTCTAGCTGAGAATGTACCATGTGTCCCTTATCACCCCAAATAAACATCTCACTCCTTCCTGTGGCCCTCAAGGTCTTACCCCACTCACACTACTACCCTTCTGGCCTCACCTCACTGCTCGTTGCTGTTCTGCAACCACACCCAAAAGTCCCTCCTCAGGGCCTTTGCAACAGCTCTTCCCGGTATTAGAATACTCTTTCCCTAGATTTTAAAGTAGCTCACCCCCTCTAGGCCACTGCTCAAATATCATTTTTTTTAATAGATAACCAAGAATAACCCTATTTAAAATCTGAACCATCCTGATGAGCTCCCTCACCTTGTCAATTGTCCCCTCAGCACTTATCATCTCCTCAGAAATGACACCATTTACTTATTGGTTTCTTTATGCTTTACTGTCTCCTCACCACCATAACTAGAAGATCAGCTCTGCCCGGATAGACGGATGTCTGTTTAGGTCACAGCTATATCCTGAGCACCTGGAACAGTGACTGATACAGAGTAGGTGCTCAAAAAGTGCTCATGGCAGAAATTAATGAATCAGGAGCTAAGGACCCAGGACCAACATTTGTCAGGGTGAGTCCCTGCTACTCATTAACAACCCCAGACAAGGTGGCCCAGGGACACTGGCATTGGCAAGATGATGACCTAGATGGGGCTGCTGGCAGGAATGGGGCCACCAAAAGGTTTAGGCCGGCCTTCTTCTGCTTCCTCCTGGGCTCTGGGCCAGCAAGGAGGGGGAAAGACCTGGCCCAGGGACCATCTGGACTCACAGCAGGGCCTAAGATGGCCCTGGGCCCAAGGGAAGAAGAGCTAGATAGGAGGCTGGGGCTGGGGCTGGATTTGAGGAGATAACTGAATCATCTGTTACCATGAAATCAGGTGCTTACCCCAGTGGTCCCCACACCCCACTTCTGCTTGCCTGAATTCATCACCCCCAGAAGGGTAGAGGGGCCAGCCTAGCAGAAAAGACCTTAATAAAGAGGACTGAAGTCCAACCTGGGATAACAAGAGAAAAAAAAAATCCTGGTGAACACTAGACCTGAGGCTGAGGAAGGTGAAGAATGGCCAGTCCCCAAATGCTCTTGTGTCTGTGCATACGGCATGGATACCCAGTTGTTTTGCCTGTTGTGGAAGGGAATAGGGGATCTGGGGGGGGTGTGTATTGTAAGTAGGGCTGGATGGAGGATGAGAAGGAGCCAGAAGGAGCCATGGGTCCATGACCTCTAAGTGGAAACTCCAAGGGCTGGACATGTTCCAGGGCTTAGTTTTGGGGAGATTTTAGGAAGATGGGGGTACAAAACCTGTTTCATACAATGCCCCCAGCAGGGGGACCCTGCACAGGGTCCTGTGAGCAGAGACACTGGAACATTAACATGCAGTAAAACTTTTAAATATCATCTTAGTTTTCTCAGATTTTTAGATTTTAGAATAGTGAATGAGGAAGCAAGAAACTAGATACACAACCACACTCAAAAAAGGGCACATGTTCTTTTTGACTCCCCAAGGAGATGTTTCCATCCTCAAAATATTTTCATACCCAAGGATACTTACCACCTCACATTACACCAGCCCCTGAGGACACAATTATCACATTCTAGTAACTCCCATAGGAACATACCATCCTCATTCTGTTCAGGCACATCCCATAAGCACACACTGGACTCTCACAGTGTCCTGCTTCCTTCAGTACACACTGGACCCTCAGGAAGGCTTCTTTGCATTTTAACTGCCAACAGCACTGCAATGTCCCTATTTATCTTTGACTCTATTAGCATACAAAGCCTCAACAGAACACTGAACTCTGTTAGCAACCAGCCGGCTCCTCTAAGTTAACTCTTAGCACCACATGCTGCCTGTAAGCTTCTCCACAGCACTCATTGTTCCCCCAGCAAGATTATGATCCCTATTTACATGCACTTGGGACCCTCTACAGCTGTACAGAGTAACCTATATTAGCACTCACTGGACCTTCACACTGCCCTGAATCCCATTAACACAAAGTGAATCTTGCAGATCCCTGAACCTGTTTTTGCCCACACTCAGACCTCTCTACAGCTGTGATCATTATTAATGTTGTCTTCTGGTCCTCCCACTACCCTGTCCCCCCACTTCCCATCAGCACAGGCTGGACCTTCACTTCACCCTGACCCCTATTAACACACACCGGACCTCACAGTGTCTTCCCATTAGCACACCCTGAACCCATACTCAGCCCCATTCTCCAGGGACACACAAACACGCTGTTCTATAATGGCCTGACCCTCATTAGCACACACAGATCTTCATCCAGCCCAGAACCCCAGTAGCACACTTCAGCCCTCCATGGCTCTAATCCGCTTTAGCACACCTAGACCATCACATATTCTTTTATTTCTCTTTGCTTCAACTCCTCCACAGCTATAATCCCGTTGGTTGACAACTGGATCCCTTCACAGCCCTCATCTTCTTTACTGCACACAAGATCTTCTCCATAGCTCTATCCTCCATTAGCACTCCCTGGAACCTCAACAAATCTCAGGCACTCAGGAACACACTATCTTTCCAATATTCTGACACTCACTAGCATATTCCAACACTCACTAGCATATTCCAGAACTCATACTGCACTAATTCTCCCCACACTGACACACATTTACATACCTCTGTCACTAAACCCACATGAGCAGTCACTAGAACTTCATATATTACCCTGCTTCTCTATAGGGCGTCCTGGTGGCTCAGACGGTTAAGAATCTGCCTTCTATGTGGGAGACCCAGGTTCGATCCCTGGGTTGGGAAGATCCCCTGGAAAAGGGCATGGCAACCCACCCCAGAATAATACTTGAGAATCCTTGAGAATCCCCATGGACAAAGGAGCCTGGCGAGCTACAATCCAAGGGGTCGCAAAGAGTCGGCCACGACTGAGTGTCTAACACATACACACCATCTTACATTCCCTGACCTCATGGATACATACTCATCTCACACCACTTTGATCCTTAATACAATGAACCTCTTACAATGCTAAGATGCTTCCCTCACCACCAATCCCCACTCCCCACACACATATATCCACAATTCTGATACCCATTAGTACAGGGCTCAGGTCTTCCACCGGTGTGCCCTCATTAATATACTGGGCCTTATACTGTCCAGACCTTTATTACCATATGCACATACCCTTGAGAGCTACGACCCCCACTGGCACCCTCTTAACACTGGACCCTGTCCTCTATGAGCACACTGTATCCTCAAACCCTGCAGTCCCTCATGGACAAATACACAGTGTTAACACCATCGTGACTCCCTTACCACACATAGGACCTCAGAGCTCCAATCCCACCAGCGAACCTTCCGGCACCTCTACCACCTTATCCACCAGCAACACCCACAGGGCCCTTCTACAGCTATAACCCCATTTGCATATCTCAGCACTCCTCTGACGTCCTCTTCCTTGTTATTCATCCTTGGGCCCAGCACCGCCCCTCTGCTAGCACACACTGAGCCTCAAAACCTTACACAGCGGTAAGACTAGTTTACTACCACATGCTCCGACCCCTTCACAGCTGAGGCCCCAGTTAGCAAACCTCTAGTCTTTCACCACTCTGCCACCCATTTACACACCCCCTGGTCCTTCGATCACCCTACTCCCCACTAGCACCCATAGTACTTCTCATCCCTAGCTCCCAGACCAGGCCCAGGGCGGGGCCAAGGTCAGTGAGGCCCTGAATGACCCCCCCCGCCCCGGTGCATTCTGGGAAACTCGCTGGGGGAGGGGGCACAGGCCAGCGGTGCACCCCAGACCCCTGGGCACCGCCCGGGGTCTGGGTTGGTTCTGTAGGAATTAGAGCAGCCCCCACCCCATGCCTCGTGAACGCGCTCACCGGCGGGGGCGCGCGAGCAACCTCAGTGCCGCGGGGCCGGCGCGGCGGCGCCTGGGGCGGCGGCCCGGACTGAGGCCGCACGACCTCCTTCTCCTCCAGTTCGCCGCAGGCGCCCGTCCCAGTAGTCTTCGGCCATGGCTGCTGGGCCCGGGCCGCCGCCGGCTGAGGAGGAGGAGGCGGCGGCGGCGGCGGCGGTGGCTGAGGCGGAGGCGGCGTCCCGCTCAGCCGGCCATGAGCTTGGCCGCTGCGGGCGATGCCCCCGGGCTCGCTGGCGCCGGCTGGAATCCGAGAGCTCACGGCGGCTCGCGGTTCAGAGCCTACTGCTCACGGAGACGCGGCGAATCCCAGGGCCGAACAGCCAACGGCCAAACCGCTGCGCGCGCCGCGCTCCGCGCATGCGCACGCACGCGCTGGAAAGGGTGAAGTGGGAAGGAGGGGACTCACCTCGGACTGCAGGTACCAAAAGACCCGTCCGCAGCGGGAGGGGGCGCGGCCATTGCGCGCCCACTGGGAAATGTGGCGCTGGCCCTGGAACGGCGCCAGCGGGAAGTGTAGAGGTTATTTAGTACTGAGTTGCGATCTTGCTAGAAGTTTGCTAACGCCGAAGTGGACAGCATCCAGTGACCAGCGTGCCAGTCACCACTCGCTCACCCTACTCGGTCTCACTTGGTACATCCCCATAATAGAAAACGGGACTTTTGCAAGGAGGAAAAAGACAGATGAAGCAGTCAGTCCTAGTCCCCTGAGGTGTCTCGGGAGGCAGGGATTTTAAAAGTTCGCGAGATGACTTTTCTCGGAGAGGCGGCCTGGAGAATCATTGGCATTTACCAC